TTGGAATAGAATTCAATTGTATTGATATTTAGTATCGTCGTTTATTAAATTGTGTATATTAAATGTTTGTGTTTTTTCTATATTCTATATTCTTTTCTATTTAAATATTTTGTGCACAGCACCAAAAACAATTATACAAATTTTTTATAATTTTTTATATGAACATTGTTTACTAGTTTTAGCGCTCAACACCCAAAGGAAATCTACTGGAATATTGTTTGTTTTCATTTATATTGTATTTATCTCAGCGCCGAAGAACATATGGCATACTTTTTTGAGATAAAACTTTTTATCAACTTTTTTAATGGAAGAAGCATCGTACATTTTCATTCAGAGTTGCCTTAACAAAAGTGTTGATAACTTGTGCAATTAAAGCAAAATTTATTTGGTTTCCAAACAACTTGAAAATGCAATAAAATATTTAAATATTAAATATTAAAGCTTTAAACTTGGCTAACAAAATTTCTATGAAATAAAACAAATAACTAAAAATTATAAACAATAATTATTGTGTACTATATGTGGTGAGGTGGGAGGGACGGTTGTAAATATAAGTATAAGTACTTAAACTAAAAATAGTTTCGTTTTATCAATTTTTTTGTTTACAGGTTGTTAGTCTGACTACACATGACGTCACAGCATTGCTAATTTTTTATATTTCCACAGTAACAGTAGCAGATACAACTAATTATATATACACCCATATATTCTCATATAACAACTATAGATATATCTAAACATACTTAGTTTAAGCAGTTCCTTGACTTCTACGAGTATCTGCAATATTTAATTGATTTTGACTAGAAGTCATAGCGTTTTATAGTTTCAAATTAACTCATTCCGTAGAACAGCAAAAATACTTTAAAGTGTTTATTATAAAAATATATATATTTTTTTAATGGTTTTGTGCGCTTTTGTTTGTCGATTTTATTTGCACACCTTCCAGATAATTTATTAATTTTAATATTTAAACAAAAAACAAATTTTAAAAAATTATTTATATTTGTTTATTGTTTTGTTTACCAAAAAGCATATAATTTTGTTAATAAATTTAAAATTTCAACATAATGGGAATTTTTATTGCTTTAGTTTGAAATAACTAACACTCTACATACAAACCACAGACGGTGTTTTAATTGCAAGCGTGCAGTATAAGATTTTGAAAAACAATCAGAGAATTCCTTAAATAGTTTCACGTAAAGTGAATATATATAAACAATGATATGGTTTATAAAAGTTAGTAAGTCCAGTCTAGTTTTATGAAATGAAAAA